TTTCAAAGCATTTAATTTGATTTTCACTTAAACTAATGTGAGCGTGTTTGTTTTTGTATTTTTTAGCTGATTTCTTTGCAAGTGAAAATGATTTTTATTCAACGCTGTCTCATTTCATGCAACGCCAGTGAAAACAGATCACCGCGACCATTTAACAGCAATTGCAGAGACAATTGAAATGATTGGTGATCCAGCGCTTTCGTACACCACATCCCCATTAAAATCACAAGCATGATTTGCATGTGACGCTCCGCTCGTGGCGGCTGCTTAGCCGCCGTAGTAATCAGATGATTTTAATTTTCGAAATTTAAAACTCAAGTTCAAAACCCACACAGCGCGTATTAATGCGCGGCGCGGCGGCGGGTGCGGCGGCGATGGTGGTGGAGGTCTATTATAGTTGGCGTTTTTGTTGGCGCAGTGCGTTGGTGTGATGGCGTTGTTAATTGGAGGATTTCGAAAGCGTTGCTGATGTACTGCCATTGTTGGCCAAGTTGATGATGTTGACGCCATTGTATTGTAGTTGTATGTACAAATACGTGTTGGTGTATACTTTTAGCAACGACTGTTGCTGTTTGCGCCTTTGTTAAGCGCTTGTTGTTGGCGCGTTGTAGGCGTTCGTCAGCCGCCAGATTGGATATGACATGTCGGTGTTACGTGTTGCCACATACGTGGATACAGGGTGCATGGCAGTCGCTTGAAATTTCATTGCTCACAAGTTCGCTAAATTTCTATAACTGTTTATGCATTCGCACACTTTACCGCTGCCGAGCGCGTGCCACAATTCAAAAGTCATTTCATTAAATTAGTCGCTTACAAAAGTTTGAGTGCCAGCTATTAAGTGTCACCCACGGCGGCGCGCTGTGACTGGTAATTCCTGCGTTTGAGGAAACCAAAGAGGTGCGCGCGCACACACAATGGCTATACTGCGGTGGCGCACATGCGCGCACTTGCCACACATGTGCCAGTCAGTATGAGTAGCATAAGCGTAAGTGAGCGGTTTACAGTCACCTCATGGGGCTTAAATGCAAATGAGCCGATTTATCAAGACAGTCAGAAGAGAAAGACGGCAGGAAGCCCACAGTATCTACTACATACATAGCATGCTACAATGAGCGCCACTGCTTTCTTATAATAAGCATAGCGTTTTCTGAAATTATTCGTGACAAATATGATTATTTTTATGCTAAACTGCAGACGGTTTAGGGAGTAGCGGCTCCTCACTTTTAAAATACTAGGGAATCTGTTTATGGAGTTCGCTTGAAATTATTGTCAAATAATATTAATAGTTCTCGATTATTCATTCGATATACAAAATTATTCGCTATTGAGAATTGAATTTATTTAGCTTCTGCATTATCTAAATGATCATAACTGCAAGTGGCGCCATTTGAATCCATTTGCATTGTCACGTGAGACGAAAAGTTGACTTTGACGGTAAAGTTGATGAGGCTTAAGAGCACATTTTGCATATCCATACATATGGATAAACTTTATTTACACAGGTATTCGAGAAGGAAGCTTTATATTACCTTGGAGACGAAAAACATCTTCTATAACTTTAGATCTTGCTTCGAACGGTATTTGAATTCCTGATCCACTGAGTGGCAATCAAACGTCCAACACACTACTCTAGGGCCACCACAAAAACTAAATGTATTTAAAATACTAATGTATATGTGCATTAGGGTGGAGCGAAAACAAATATTTTTCAGCTTAGCCTGAGGGTAAAATTTGTAGATTATAAAAAAAGAAAAATTTAAGAAAAAAAAATTTTAACATTCTCACTCACGTTTAAAGTAAATTTCGAGTTAAAGTTTTTTTCGGTCAAAAAAAATAATTTTTGATTTAAACTCTTCACGTTTATATACAATAAAATATACCGAATTTGACTTTTTTTGACTCAAAATTTATTTTAACGCTTAAGAAAAGCATGTTGGACGTTTAAGACTTTTTTTAAGACTCTAATAATGACCGCAAACAATTTTTTTAAGTTGATAACTTTAAGTTGGCTAAAAAGAGGACTCTCCCCAGCTTCTATAACACTTATCAAAAAATTTTTTGTCCAAAAAAATTTTAACTCGAAATTTACTTTAAAAGGCCGCCTCTAGATGTTAAAAAATAATTTATTTTTTTGCCAAAAAATTTCTTTTGTTATAATCTACAAATTTAACCCTCAGGCTAAAAATTTTTTTTCGCTTCACCCTAATGTACATATGTATAATTAATTATTAAGTTGTCTACAGCACTTATTACTCGCTTCCGCTTTGGAATTTGCTTTCGAGTTTCGAGAAAATGAGACTAAACTTTGCCTTTTGCTAATTTGCGCTTGTCTAGTCGCCTCGCCATTGAAATAGTGCACAGTACATGCATTTTTTGTGTGTTCCGTTTTTGCCACCTTCATTTTCGCCATGGCGAAAGCAGCTAAGAACGCGCTAATTGTGAGTAAAAACTGTCTGAACGTGACGTTTGTTGTCAGCGCCCGACAATACACTCCCAGGCGTAGGTTGAATAAACTCGCCACTCTGACTCAGATTGCTATTTTTGCGCCAAGCTTCTTCAATTGTCTATATAATATACATATATGTGTGCCTCAGAGTGTGTCCGTCAGTCGCTGTTGAATCTGCTAACTGACAAGCGTGGACCATTTTGCCTTGATTCCATTGCGCTATTCACTTTGAAATGAAAATCCACTGCAACACAAAAGACTTAGTCAGTCGGCCGTACATTAATATACAGACAACCGCTATATGTATATTAGTATATACACATATGTATGTATGTTATGTGTGTGTGCGCACATTTATATTGAGGAATGACGTTCAACTTGGCTGTTGTGGCTTTTGCTGAACGTTTGCAATTAGCATTCGACCGGCATAAGTACAACAACAACAGAGGCCTAACGCAGACTTATATGGAGCACTGTCATCGAAGTGTAGAATTGGAGAACAACAAGAATTGAGGCTGACGACGTGTGTTGGAAAAATGTGAAAGGTCATTATGAGGTGTGATTTTGTGTAACTCTCTTCCACTGTTACGGTTATTTTTTTTCATGTTCTTCATTCTATTTTACGGTGTTTGTTTTCACTCGAACATCATGAATTACACCAAACACTAACGAATGGAGCGCATTATGGACCACACAACCGCAGGTGCAGCAAATGACAAATATTTAGCTTAATTTATCCGAAAAAACCTTCGCAGCGCTGGACAAGCTTCAAGTGGTTATGTGCCAACTCTGCTCTGCATGAGCGAAGACAAACCTGCTGCACAGCCACCAGCCGTCGCCGTCAACGTCGTCATGATTGCCATCGTCCGCGACACAGCAATAAACGAATTTGAGAAATAATTTGAAAAAATCAGTCTTTGCTTCATGTGGGCGTTCAGGTGGGTAGATGGTGAGCTCGTAAAGCGCTGGCTGCTGTTGCCACTTTTTTCTTATTTTCTTGAGCAAATACAAAGCGTTCGACGCGCACAAAAGACTTAAGGCACAAACGCCGTCGCGCTGTGTGCGAGTGAACGGCTGAACGGCTGAAGTGGAGTGGCGGGATAAGTCGGCGGCTTGTTGTCATTCGACAAAAATGAAAATAATGGCTTTCAGTAGCCCATAAAAACTTGAGAATCCGAAAAGCAAGCGAATATGAAGGCCAAAGAATAATATGATAATAATGTTGCGCCAAATACACGTGTACTGTGTGTGTGTGCCTATGCAAGTGTATGCGAGTGTGCACACATGTAAATGGTTGAACCAACAATTAGACGGAATCTGTTATTACTCTCAATGAAGCTCCCAACTCTAGACAGAATTAAAGCTGCCAAATAATAATTAAAAATATTGAAAAATCACTTTCCAGTTGTGTTTTGCGTGAAAGCTTTGAGAAGCTAGTTAATTAATTAACTTACAGAGGAGTTATTGAAGTCAAATCATTGCGTTTTTTTTTTCAAAAAATTATCTCACATATTGGTTAAAATAATAGTAATAATAATGGCAATTAAAATTGCTAATTGTGTGTATTTTTATTTTCTTTAAATGTTATTAATTTAGTATCATATTATGTATGGGTGGATCTGTTTTTCTGAAAGTGTTCCAATATATCTCGAAAACACGGCTATCGTATGCAGGTTTACAAATAATGCATTAAACATTTAATTTACATTTAAATTACTTTTGTTTTATTCAGTAATTCTGAAAATTCGAAATCCAAATTTTTTATCCCAAATACCGTGTTAAAAATTTTTAGTTCCACGGGTGGAAAAATAGGAAAATACTGTTAATCCCAAATTTATAATTAAAAATTAATAAAAAAAAACTTAATAAAAAATTATTTTTGAATTTACTTTTTTGCGCTTTCGTACTTCGTGTTCTACCATTTTGAACTAGAGCTCACACAGCGCTAATATCTTCAATATTCGAGAACACTGGTCGGCAAACTTACACATTCAATCGATTTATATTTTATTATATATAATATATAATATTAAATTCTGATAACAGTTCCAGAAAGTTCTATTTGAAAAATTCGCATTCCTGACTGTATAGAAAATGCTTGAGAGAGTCCAATGAGCCTGCCACTGCATTAAGCACCTTCTAAGTAAGCAATCGCCTATTTCCAACCAACAAACTGTATTCAGATATACTAAATCAATATCCAATGAAATTCTTTGCTTAATAACGTCACATTTTTCACCTTTGCGTATCTATTGGAGAATGAATCACAACTAATACAACCAAATTAATCGAGCCTCTTTAACTGCCAAAACTCATATTACTGAAAACGGCTTTAAGAGCAAAAATTTTGTGAAATTATTTTACTATAATAGTCGACGGGTTAAAAACATAAATATAAAATTTGTAAAATCAATATGTGGCCTTTATTAATCATCAATTTAAGCGACTGTAACCGTCTTCACAATTCATGGCGACGATTCATACCCAAATTATAAGCATACATACACACAAACCAACAGCTATGAACGCTTATAAAAACGCTGCCTCCACTTACCTCAAAGCAGCCGCTGCTTGACTGTCAGCTGCCATGCTTGCTGCTACCTTACGTCGCCGGGGGTACGCTGGCGGCAATATGACTTGACTTGACACTTCACTTGCTCAGCCGAACGACGCGCAGCCTGGTCTACAACGCGGCTTATCTACGCGCACTGCAAACACTTTTGTGTGTGAAAGGCAAATAGCGAATTCGGAAAACTCTATTGAATGCTTAGGTGACACAGAGCAAACAACAACAACAACAAAACGACTAGAAGACCGCAAAGCAAATGCTAGCCACAGAACTATAAGGTGTGTGTCAGGTGGATGGGTGTGTGTGTGTGTCTGTGTGTGTTACGGACGTGTTGTTTATTCACTCGGAGCGATTTGTACGCGTGATAAGCATCTTATCTGGTACTCCAATGTGCACGTTTATCTCCGTTACACCGAACACTGCCCTATTTGCGCAACGTTTTTATGTGCGTGTGTCTGTGTTAGTGTTATGTGATTCGGCTGAATGCACTTGCGTTGTTGCGTTGTTTTTGGCGACTGGTCCTTTCACACGGCGAGTAGGCGGGTTTCCAATTGCTCTTACTTTTCGGCAGGTAAATGCGCTTTGCTTCGTCAATGAATGAACGATTATGTCACGCTGTTTACCGAAAAACTATTTCACTGCCTTTCAAAAGCGGTGTGTGCGTGTGTTTTATCTTTGTGCTCCTTTTGCCCTTGTGCGCTCGGTATGTTTGATCACTCAGCTCGAAGGCACTGCTGCTGATTCATTCATTGAAATATCAATTGTGGATGCACATACGCACACACATTCAACTGTGTGTGTGTGTGTTATTAGAACAATGGGCCGGAAACGGATGGGCGACTACAATGCAACTGAATAAATAATTGAATTTTATTTTATTTTATTTTTATTTCTTTTTCTGTGTATCCTGCCGCAACGTGTCGACAGGCAATGTCTGCCTTTTTCCTTTCAACTTTTTTTGCTTCTTGCTTTTAAGGCGATTAAGAAGACTCAGAAGATTTGTGCCGAAGGGCACGAAAAAACAATTAATCACTGCTGTATTTTTTTTACTATTTCAAAGCAATTATTTTGGATTTGGTTGCAATTGCACTTTGTGTTCAACAATTATTTAGCAGTTTTGTAGCTCACAATTTCACTATTCGCAATATTGGCTTTCGAAATATTTAACTCAAAAATGCGTTTTCCAGCATACAAAAGACTTAAGTGACGAACCCGCCAACTTGTACACTTTTTTACACAAACCACTGTTAGTTTTATAAATTTCTCAAAAATTGCAACACAAACTGCATTTGCCACACAAAATGATTCGGTCACAAATCGCACATATATGCTCACAAAATTTTCACAACAACCAATTTGAGGCTTTCCGATTTCATTGACTCGACAGCGCGAAAACCAAAACTCAACTGAGCACACCAACAGCCAACATGTGGGCTTGAACTGCGCGCCGACGTCGGTTGTGTTGATTCGCCTACATGCACACCGCGGCCGTCTGCCGACTGCCAACTGCCGACTGCTGCCTGTTGGCTGGTGTCTGTTGGTTGCTTGTTGGCGTTTGGCTGGCTGACTGGCTGTCGACAGCTGTTGTACATTACAACAACCACCGTGTGCTAGGCTGATGGCACGATCACTCTACAGCAGTGCCGTCGTTGTTGCTTTTGTTGGCGAACGTAAGCCTACGCGCGCCTCAATGAATTCATTCACAAAAACAGACGCACTCAACCGGTAAGCCGCAGCGCACACACGACGTCGCACAAAACTCCTCACAACATGTTTGAGCGTCCACCTCGTCGCTGTATTGGTGCGCGCTGACTCTCACCTGGCAAACTCGATGACTGTGTAGGCTGACACACAAATTTATGAGCGAACTAGCTGGCAGTAATGATGCCACCACATATTGTATATGTATGTATGTATGCATATATATGTGTGTGTTTATAACTAAATTTGTGCTAATCTTAGCATTATTGGCGAATTAAGTATCGGCGGCGTATTGTGTTACCAAGTTAGCAAAAGCCTTTTCATTTAGCGATTCTTATTTGCAGCGCTAATGTGTCGCCTATTCAAGTGGTTGAAGTGAGAGCTCGCCTTTATTTGAATTGATTTGCACTTATTGGCAGTTCACAGATCATTCACTCGCTAAATGTGCTAATTTATCGCTGAATGAGTGAAGAATTTTGTTCTTCATTCAAATTAATTTGTATACATTTATATATATATATATATATGTGTGGATGTATGCTTGTATACACTTAGTGAGGGGCTTAAATCCTTTGCTGCTTAAGTTAATTGAGCGACGGTGAATTGGTGACTGCCTCACACCGCCGCAAGCACTTTTATGCAAATTCAAATTCAAATGTTTGTGCGCATGCGCCACCCTTTGTGCGCAAATTTTTGCGGTTAGTGCGGTTTCCTTGGGCCCCAACCATGCCAAGGCGATGTGGCCGCTTAAAACACAAAGCCAGTTGTAACATCTACGTATATATGTATTTACGTATCAAGTGGCAACGCATCTGAAATTTCCACAGAGCTCACGTACAGTGACAGGCCGGGAAATCCATTTTTCCATAATTAAGTGTTTTAGAGAGATACCTGGGTAGGTTAGAGCTTCCTAAAATGTGAAATTTCTGAATGAAAAAGTGTGGAATTGGAGCATGAGCTTATTTTGTTAGCAGATTTGTGAGGCAAGACCGCTTAAACGGATTCAAAATGGGACCCTTTAAAATTATGCTGTATAAGGCAAGTTTCTAGTTCTTGTTTTCTCTGAAGATAGGGTAAAACTCTTCGCTGATAATTTTTGGATTATTCTAGTAAGATGGTCAACAACTACCTACTGTGCGACTGCGAGATCCTCCTAGCCTAAAGCAGGAGATCTATTGAACTACTTGCTCTCATTAAGGTTCATCTTGCCCCAATCGTAGATGTTCTTACTGGTGATTATCCAATAGGCGCAAATGCGGTAAGTGCGAAAATTTTGTCGGACGCTAAATGTCAAAATTTTATGGAGGATGGTGAGGTGGAAGCATCCAAACACGTTCTTCTCCATTGTCCATATTTGGCAAGACTGAGTTTGAAACAGCTCGGCAGTCACAACTTCGGCGAACCTGGCGAATGCTCAAAGCGCTTCGCCGATTTTTGAAAATCTTTTCAATCAATACTTAGGAGTCGTTAGGTATCATAATGGACCGGCGATATCAGCTGAACACATGAGATCGGTTTTTGGAGCGACTCTTTCAATTAACCCAACCTAACCAGTCACATAAGATCAGAAGGTATGGAGCTTTCATCTTCCCAATAGCTCTTTGAACCTACATCAAGTAGCAAGACGAAAGTAGTTATTCGTTAAATGTGTAAGCCATCGGGGGAACCGCTTTATGCAACCAACTATGCAGAGCGAAAAGTCGGCTAAAGTAGCACGCATACTTCTGCGCATACGACGAAGCATTATCAGCGAATTGGCTTACTGCGTTTGCTTTTTGTTGCGTTTCATACATGCTGAACCACAACTTGACGGAGTCGGTTAGCGAGTCAACTAAAGCAAACTTATCTCCGAAAACTTACCAGAGAAATAAGCATTTTAGTTATTGGGCTGAAAATATAAAGACTTATGAGGTCGGCACAGAAAAGGATTATAATAAGGTTATACAAGAGCGATAGGGGAAAGTGTGTCCGACGTTATAACATATGATCGATTACTAAAACTACTAATCTAATAAAATTCGAGGTCGGTCCTTGCAAATGAAAGAATCTCGAAAAGTATGAAGAGTGGTTTATACTCATATTGCAAAAATAGGTTGAAATTCAGCGGATAACATTGATTGCTATAGGTGATAAAAAAGTGAGCTTATAATATGCACCTTATCTAATTGCTTCTCTACTTTTCACGGCAGTATACTTTTATTGCTTGGTGTCGTAAACGGCTGCTTGCATCTACAATATATATACGAGTAGTTGAAAGAAGCCGACTTCAGTGGCCCATCTCAATGAAGTCATGTTGTGTGTACGTCCACATGCACATGTACAAATATTCCGTGTTTATACAAGTGCATGTGCGTCAAAGCTAGAAGCTGTCTCGCCGTCGCAACGCTGCCGCAAGTCCGACTTCGTGCGCTATCGCTTTGTGAACAAGACGAGCTTGTGTTCAACGAAACAAAGCAAACGTGAACTTTCGTAATAGACAACAAAAACACTAAAACAATACTTATGGTAGCCGCAAATTCTAAACCAAGTTTCAGTACAACTACCGTTAAAAGTTCACACGTACTTTACATTTATATATCGGCATAGAGAGCATACTGTGTGACAGATAGAAGTATCCTACAAGAAGGAGGACTGGAAATCAAGCCACTGCAGTAATAAGTAGCTTAAATAGCGAAAAATGTAGGATGAACAAGTAGCACACACACATCCATACACAATTACGAGCTGGTACATTCATCTTCGTTTCACCAACAACAAAAGGCAATATTGTCGTCACGCTGCTAGAAATTTGAAGGCACACATAATTGAGGCCTTGAAACAGCATCTTGATGTTTAGTATTTTTTATTCTGCAAATACTTTTCGCACTCTCGCGTCATGTGGCACAATCACTCCATATATGTTGCCTTTGACCGACAAGGTGTTCCTTATATGTACGCACAGCGAACGGGTCGGCGAAGCATGTACATAGCTCTCAAAACCCATTTCTCCCTGGTTATTTAACAACAACAACAACAACAACACACCAATAAAGAAGCTCTACTGCCTACATGGCTAGCGCTGTTTAATAGAACAAATAAATTGGTTTCACACACACACTTGCTGCAGCGGCGCATACCCACGACAGCGAATGTGTGCATGTGTGTGCTTCATTCCGACACAAATGGGCAGAAGTTCCAAGCTTGTTTATTTGACTTTCCCATTCTTAACCCAATACTCATCTTCGCCGCTTCTCACCTTTGTAGGCGTTCGATAAATACAATTTGCCAACGCTTATGAGCGCTAACGAGTTGACAAATACTAGCGATAAAGCGTTCATTCTACGCAGTAAATATTTTTTTATAGAAAAAACAAATTTTTCGATTTAATTCAAACTAGAGGTAATTTATATATATCGAGTTTCCATATGAATGCAAGTGACATAAAAATTGTTGTTTATTAGAAGACTATGCATTTGTACTGGCCGAGGTACCAGGCTCAATTATTTCTTCTTTAATGGGTTCGGCTGGTATCAGAGACGGCGGAATGTTTAGAGTCTGCAAAAAGTTTATTTTACTTTAAAATCATTTCTTTTATGTAAAAATATCTGTAATGATAGCTCACTTTTCCCGGGCATGCAGCTTCATACTGATGCTTTAAGCTTTCCATTTCATAAACACATGTGGACAAGGCTGTTCTTAATTCGCACAGCAGAACCATGTCGGAGCGCAGTTCATTGAATGTGTTACATATTTCCTCCGTTGGCGGCGGCGAGGGGTCTAAAAACAAGAATATGGATTAGTTCAACGAAACTAAATATATGTAGCAAAAAAAAAAAACAAACACTCACCGACTTTAAATTCTTGTATGGCTTGTTCCAATGCTTTTACCTTACGTTGACCGATGTTTGCAGGCAGTTTCATTTTCTGTGAACGCAAAGAAACACCAGATCCACGTAGGTCTGAGAACTTGATGCCACTACCTCCTATTTCTATAGCATTTACGACCGAATCAACCTTCGAGGGACGCGGTTGATGATGTAGCTTTTTCTTGACAAGTTTCTTTTCATATTTGCGTGCGCTCTGCACATTGGTGGCGGCATCACTTTGCTAGTGTGGTTACGGATTTTTCAGAATGATTTACGAAGAAAATGTTTATACACAAATATTCGTACCTGATCCGCCTGTGAGATGAGTTTTTGTAGATCTTGTGTTTTGCGTTCGCGCTCCTTCTTACGTGCTTCGATCTTTTTAAGCTCATTCAAGAGCATTTGCTCTTCTTCTACTTGTTGGGTAGTCCGCTCAAACAACTTTTTCAGTTGATCCTTGCGCTTCCTTTCGTGTTCTGCATCGAAAGCATATGCTTTTTTGTCACTATTCTGTCCCTTGGCCTTGGCGAGCAGACCTACTACTTCATAGTAGCGCTCTTTCAGGTCTTCCACAGATTTAACGCCATGCTGTGCACGATCCCAACGATCAGCCATTACGATAAATCGCAGATCAAAACTAAAATTTAATTTAAATAAATATTTTTCTTTGGTTGTCAATAACAGTTTATTACAACTCTTACCGTTTAGCTAAATCAAATAAATGATCGGTTTGTGCTTTGTTCCACTTTTGTACGTTCGTGCGCAAGTGTGTGTTATACTCTGTCATGGTGTAGGTGGGTATTTGAAGCTGCTTATTGAATTTGGCAAAGGGATAATCCTTTTGATCGTCTGTAGTACGACGCCAATGATGGAATACAGCGCCGTCTGTGCGTGCTGGATTATTGAAAGGAGCC